TTATTTATTTATTATAATATCATTAACTTATAAATGTTAACAGTATTTTGTAGACTGTGCTTCTCACCTGGTGGTATGTGCTGGGATAAGGCCAACTTGCTGTAAATGATGGATGACACTACATCAGGAGAAACTGTAGCCATGGCCAAGTCCAGTCTGTTAAACCTACAACAGCAACATGTGGGATTAATATCACATTGTTAATCTTTCATATGATTATAGTAAATAATAAATATACAATCTAAAATAATCATAAATATATATGGACTCACAGTGTTTTGTATGATGAACAGGAAAGGTTTCCCTTCAAATACAGAAAACAAAGATTATTACCTTCAACAAGAAAAACAAAGCGTACATTTTGAATGAAGAGGAATCAGGTTTTTTCTTTCTACCTGTTGGACAAACATGACGAGGTCGGACAGGAACTCTGTGAATTTCATCTCGTTTGGAGATTCAGTCAGGTAATCAAAGATCGTATTTATGACAACGTCTTTGTCTGGATTAGCAGGAAGAGTCACCACCAGCAGCTCTGCACTCTGCTTTGGAGTCAGGAGTTGTAGCGCCTCCAGCTGAATGGAAGAGAGGATCAACAATAAGTTTAATGCTGCTGAAAATAACAAGGTAATAACAGCACTGACCAGTTTTATAAACTATTGATGTTATCAGAAATTATATCTTACAGAGTTGAAGTCTGGGTTGAGATGAATCAGCTCTCTGACGGTCAGTAGTCTTGAAAACGGACCCAGATTCTTCATCAGCCAATTTGCACTGCCGTTGGAGGCCGACACACAGGCTGGACCAAGTCGTAAAGATAAAGAAGGTTGTATTAATGACAAAGTTGTCACTCCATTTGTCATCCAACAACATCATTTGCAGGTGTACAATGAGTATTACAACCTCACAAGCCAGTGTAAATAATTACTATTATACCTTAACCATAGTACAAAACATTTCTGGAAAATGTGTTACCTTTTTGGAAAAGTGTACAGAGAGAAGTTGAGATTTTAAACTCAAAATAAACTTACTGACTTTGATTCTCCATCTTTATGGAAATCTCTAAGGACCTACCTTTGGTGTTGTTGGTAGTCAGGTAAACCTGGATGAAGTCTGTGTACACTGTCATCTGCCTCTGGAGCGTCATGTGTGGCTGGAGACTGCCCAAAATCTGCAAACTGAGTTCAAAAATAAAATGAGGGGTAAATGAGAATCAAAGAATCAGATCTGCATTGAAGTTTCAGAAGTTTGGTTGAAGGTGACAGTATATCTGTGAGCTTACATGTGCTGGTAGGCAGTTCAGTCCCTGTTGTGGTGGAGACATGAAGGAAGTCAGGGGAAACTGGCTTGGCCAGGGAATGCGAACGAAGCGCGGTGGTTGAACGCCACAGCCTGGATGACGGCAGGATCATTCAGACTGTCCACCGGCCTCAAACTGTGTCCCAACTCGGAATTTCCAGTATAGCCGTCCCAAAACGCACTGAACGAAGCAGGATTTTTGGGGTCCAGAGTCTACAAGACAAAAAAAATTTATCCAGTGTCTAGTTCTGATCAGGAGAGAGTAAAGTGAGGACTGTTGCTGATTTCTACCTTGTTGCTTAGAAGATCCAGAGCTTCATCCAGCACACGTGAGGCTTTGGAGAGGAGAAGCTTCCAGACGGGTCTTGAGCTGCTTGAGTTGGAGGAGCGATCACACGCCAACATCGCTGCCAGATCATTTGCTTTCAACGCTGACAGCTGTGTGATAAAGAGCAGAATGACAACAGCTGAATAATGATGGAAGATCAGAAAACATACTAAAGATCACATTGTAACAGTTTCACACAGCAGAAGTTGTAGGACAGTTGTTGATCTGAGATGTTTTGGTGTCTTACAGAGGCACAAGCAAATTCCTCAACAGCAAAGTGACAGAAACTTCCGTTCATCAGTCCGCTGTCAAGATGGAGCTGCAGCATTGTGCTGTAGTTTCAAAAGGAAATAAAACGTCAAACATTTGTTGACAAAATATAAAAACACAAACTGTTTAAACAAGTTCAACGAAAAATACCGGAGAATTCATAAATTTCACCTGTTCACTCCAACACAAATGTCTGTTTCTGTGAAAAATAGAATTAAAATAATGAATGGTGAATATTAACATTAAATTATTGAAACATTTTATGAGTAAATTTTTTAAGCAGTGAGACAACTTACCATTTGTCATGGTAACTGTGCACTTGGGGGAGGAAAAGATAAAGAAGGTTATGAGTTTTCTATCATCAAACCAATATTAGACAATATCCAGAGAACCAAAACAATTGAATTACCTGTCCGCTGTATATGACACAACCTAAAATAAAAGCAAAAGTAAATGCAAATTATTTCATTGTATAGCCTATTTATTTATTTATTATAATATCATT